CAAGTTCAAACCTGCTGGGTGTGTGATACATTGATTTTATGTTGCAGGTACTTTGTTAGTTAATGAAAGAATGCTGGAGTCTTATGTGATTGCAAGAGATCGGTTTCTAGTTCCAAATGGAAAAATGTTTCCTGCAGTGGGAAGGTAGTTTTTCTTTCTCGTCAGCAGTTGACTTTGAGGAGCCTATCCTTGTCAATTCATTCATGAAACTAGTAGTTTGCTTATGAGGTTCTTTCGTTCTTTTAGTTTTTCTTCCCGGATCTGTGTTCTACTTTTCTCCCACCAGTAGTTTGACACATTATTTTTCAAAAGATCCTTGTATCATCGATTATTTTCTTTCCACCACAATGATATCACTAAGATTGAATTGCAAATTGTGGAAGCTGAAGTTGTCTATTACATTCTCCTTTTTACATGAGATGAACCTTCAAGCTTAATTCTCTGTCTGGTATCCATAAATATGCTTCAATGCTGCTGCCCGCTTCTCCCTCCAAGCAATCCCCCCCCCCCCCCCCAAACCAGCCATTGATAAGTCCCACCTTTTTTCAGCCTTGCTATCTCTATCCACTATTTCTAATTGGTTTTTATTTATGTTTTATCGTCATATGATTAAGTTGCCCAAGCTGCAACTTCCCAACCCAATCTCCAAAAAGAAAAACCTTTTCTTTACATTTTCAATTGCTTTTACTTGTATTTCGAACTTCTTTATTAAAAACAGAACATTTTTCTTCCACTTCTATCAGGCCTCTCTTTCTTCCACTTTCCTCTGTCAAGCCTCTTGACTTTTTGATACATAAACTAGTATGTAATATTTTCATTTTTTTTACTTTGTGGTTTATTATATGATTTAATTTTCCAAATTTCAGCTTATGATTCTTTTATTTTGTAGAATACACGTGGCACCATTCAGTGATGAATATTTGTATCTGGAAATTGCAAATAAGGTACATTTGATCATATCACTGTTTTCTTGCTCTCTAGGCCTATCTCTATAGCATTTTCTTCTTAAACTGGGGCTCTTCCCCTATGGAGTAGGATGGTGGGTGCTATATGAGAGGAGTTTCATTCACAAAGAATGTTGCCTCTTTGCTGAAGGTTTAATGCATAGGTGCTATATTTCCAGATGCAAAACTACTTGTCACTTGTTGCATAATTGTGCATGGCGTTGTCCTAAGGAGCTATTTCAGCAATGTGAAAGTCTCTCTGGTGGAACAACAACATTAAAGTTAAAATAACAAACCAACAAGTCCAATAAAGTATAAAGAAAATGAACAATTAACAATTTATATAGGATAATGATCTGTTGCAGAGGTGCAGATGCTATGTTGGATGTGCGGTCATACAAGACTAGATAAGATTAAAAATGGCTATATTCGGCAGGAGGTGCAATTAGCACGTGAGGATAAAATGAGTGGAAGTCTCTTGAGATGGTTTGGTTATGTCCTGTGTCGACTTACAAATGCACCTGTCTGCGAGTGTGAAACTGAATGAAGGTGTTGAAAGAGAAAGGGATAGACCTAAAATTACATGGAAGAAAGTTGTCTTGGAATGCCTACATTTTTTTTCTGAATCAATGTACACTTAGCTAAAGATAGGACATAATGGAAGAAAATGATCTACTAGTAGGGAAATAATTTTACACTTCTGGGAGAACGTCTGATATATATATACACACACACATCAAACTTTTTTTTTATTTTTTTATTTTATTGATGATTGAGTTCAGCTTAAATGAGAAAGTGAGGATTCATAGAGCGATCCAACTTATGTAGGACTAAGATGTAGTTGCTGTTTAAAGGATAATGATTGTAGGAGGTGAATGATAAGCTAGAGAGGGACCATGAAGATAGAATCATCATTGAGCTGGATACACAATGATTTAGGCTAATTTGTGGCGTGTAGTGATAAATGATAATGTCCTTTTTACAGGAATGATTGCATGTTCCACTTAGCCAAAGGTGTGCATAGATGCCACATTTTCATATTTCCATTTGTCCAAGTAAAAATAAATGTTTCCATGCAAGCAACTTGTTCTTTGCTGTATGGGAAGGCTTTGATGCAACTGGCTTGCATCATTGGTCCTTTTCCACTTGCTCAAAGCCTCCATGCAAGCCTTCTAGACATAAATTTTGTATATGGATTCTGCATTTCTCATGCACATGCTTATTTATGGAGATGCTTTCTTATAGTAATGATCCTTCTCAATTTCATATTGAAAGAGAGTTTAATTTGACTTCTACTGTTATACAGGCTATTTTTTGGCAGCAACAGAGCTATTTTGGGGTTGATTTAACACCCTTGCAAAGATCTGCATATGAAGGATACTTTTCTCAGGTCAATCTCGTACATATTAGGAATTTATTGACTTGGCCTCTGATTTATTCACTTTGAATTATAAGCTTTTAAAACAGAGTTGAATTCAGCATCCAAGTTGAATTTCATTGTCAAAATCATAACTGTATGTGCTGAACCTACTCCCTTCCCCCATCATGATGTCCTCTATTTAGTTTCCACAATTTGTGTGGGATGGTTTCCATAACTTCTACAAGACGAGTTACCCTTAGATTCACTCACTTTTTTTGGATGTTCATGTTCTTTGCAGCCAGTGGTTGATGCTTTTGATCCAAGGTTATTGGTAGCTCCTGCAATATCTCATGCGATTAACTTCACTTTAATAAAGGTATTACTAGAAAATTCATTCTGTAGGTCGTAAAATACAGTTTGGAGAGATGGTCCCTATTCTATGTATGTTTTTCTTGGCAATTAAAGGGAATCCTACAGATTCAGAAAGGAATCTAAGAGAGTTTTCTAACGTAAAGATAAACCTTTATTTCACAAGGAAAGAAAAACATAATCAGCAGAGATGCAAAGGTAATGGAAGCCATAGGCCTAAAGTAGCTCCTCCTCCTACTTTTGAGGATAATTAATTCTATATATGTGCTTTTCATGACACTTAAACTGAACAAAGTTCCTACTTTGTGGAGTGGGTGGTTGATAGGTGGAAAAAGCTGGTGAAATTACTCATATATGCTAGTTAGGATTTTTTGGAACATAATGCTGGGTAAAGTAATCTTTTTCCACATATATATTACAGGATAGGTGGAAAAAGCTGGTGAAATTACTCATATATGCTAGTTAGGATTTTTTGGAACATAATGCTGGGTAAAGTAATCTTTTTCCACATATATATTACAGGAAGAAGATCTATATGAAATTGAGATCCCATTGAAATTTGCATGTTCTGTTAGCACTAGAATTCATGGGCTGGCTTGCTGGTTTGATGTACTATTCAATGGAAGGTAAACATTTGTATTTCTTGCATCATTGTTGGGATGTTGTTGTTGCTACTTTTCAGTAAATTGCATCATTTCTTTCTGCAGCACTGTACCGAGGTGGCTTACCACTGCTCCTGGTGCACCTACAACTCACTGGTATCAGCTTCGGTGTGTATTGTCACAGCCCCTTTATGTCATGCCAGGACAGGAGATAACTGGCAACTTTCGCCTGGTTGCCCATAGGGCACAAAGTTATACCATTTACCTAACATTGTCAGGTAATTTTTTATGATTGTAATTTGTAGTATTTGAATCATATCTTGTTGATCCCTTTGTCCTATAAAATCTAACATGTCATTGATCAATTTGAATAGCTACTGTTGGAGATATGCTCCAAACGTCCTCTGGAAAACTTGATCTGAAGGAGCCATATTACAGGATGTCCCAACCACAAGCATATTCATCGGCACAAGAACCTAATCAGCTCTTACAAACTCAGGTATTGCTGTCTTTTCTGTCATAGTGGTTAAACTATGGTTTTCTTCTCTCCCTTGTCTAACTTGTATGGTTTTAAGCTGCAAGTTTCTCAAGGATTGTAAATTAGTACTGTTTTTTGAGGCACAGCAAAGACTCTAAGATTGTATCTAAACCACTCCTTAAATGTAAGTGATAAGTGTTAGGCTTGAAATTTCTGGTAATTGAGCTACTTGGGAAATGAGATTGAAAATGTTTACATTTAACTTTAGTCTGTTGGCTTTGAAGATCCTCCCGCTGGCCTGTTATCCGTTTGTTTACCTATATACTTTCGATACTTTGAGGAGCACTCACTGTAAAAGCTATTAGCAATTTTATAGATATACATTTCCAACTTCTAGTGGAGTAAAGAGTTAAAGTTGCCTTTTCTATCATGGACAGGACGTACTAACACAATCTTGGGTTGAAGATGGCTTAGTCCCAGTGCAACAACCTTCTCCAAATCATGGCGTTGAGCTACAAACACTTTGATGGTGAAATCCAAGTTATGGGATATGCATCCGATAATCCTCTTTGAATTACTAGAATGCTTGGCTAAGCTAAAGAATCCAAAATTTTAATGCTGCCAAGTTCTGACACCCCCCCACCCCCCACCCCTACCCCACCCCACCCCGTTTTGATTGCTTGTAAATCGTTGCTCATGTGCAATTATCTTCTAGTTTCATGTACGATTTGTTATCTTTCGTTAGCACTTTCTACCTGACCATGTAGGATGCTTTTGTATCCAGATTGATATAGATTGGCTATTTCAGCTGTGCAAGGATCTAATGACCCTTATTTGCCAGATCTACAGGTTAGACGAGTTTCATGTCATCTTTTCCCGTGTACAAAATTATAGAACTTGTGCTTATTTCCCTCAATCTCCAAATGCTAAGGAAATTGTCTCTAAATACATTGAACGGAGGAACCTGACATAATAGACCATGGGAAAATTAAAAACTGTAATGGAGACCCAAACTTAATAATTTAGATGAGATATTAGTGAAGTCTTGAGTGTTTGTTGGCTTTGCATTGTAACGGTGTAAATGAAGGTTACGTCTAGACATCTAACAATAATTTTTAGGTGACCCAATTATGATCCAATAGTATTTACTATTTGTATATAAAAGTTGAACACATTAGTAATACCCATGGATAGTCATGGACAAAGCACATTTTGGATTTTAATTGCTGGAATAGTGCTTCTTAGGATCATCATAATGGACACTGTTTATGAATTTAACGAAGTGGACTCGAAATAATATTTACACAAGGAGCAAAATTACCAAAGTAGTTACAAAACAAAGCTATATACACAATAACTGCTGTACTTATTCTGTGTTTCTTTTTTCCTCTCTCTCACTCACATTTTGACACAGAAGGAGCAGAAATTACCATAGTAGTTACAAAGTAAAGTTATATACACAATAACTACTACACTTATTCTTTTTCCCTCTCTCTCACTCATATATACACCCACACACGTACAAACAACAACCCTCTATTGATAAATAAGATGTGCAAAATCATAGGATTGTGCAGCCACTCTTATTCTCATTTAAGAAACTGTAATAGGTGTGAGGTATTGCCAAGGATGGTGCTGCTTGATGGTATTCATCTATCATTGTTGAGAATGGCAGAGGTGCCTGATAATAATTGTTGGGCATTGCCAAGGATGATGGCACCTGATAATAGTCATCTGGCAAAGGTGGGGCTGAGGGAATATTATCATTACTCCATATTGTTCCCGCTGATGGAGAAATGCCATTTGGATAACAAGAACCATAACCAGTATTACCATATTGCCCATAGTAATTATAGCATGAGTTTCTGCTATGTGCACAACAAGGACCAGAGTTGGGATTATTACCATATTGGCTAGGGTAATAACATGAGTTTCTTCCATGTGCACAACTAGAACCCAAACTAGTAGTGTTACCATATTGGCAACATCTGTGATTAAGATTATGACTTACAGCAGAGTGACCACCACAACATGATGAAGAAGCACCGCAAAGTCCACCACCATGAGAATGATCACAATGATCATGGGCTTCTTTCACATTTTTGGTGGTGGTATTAATCTCCGTAGTTTTTTCAGTAGGCCCATTTCTTGATTCCCCTTTGAAAATCACCTTGATAGTTTTGGTCACCTCCACACTTATAACACTGGGGTCATCAGAAAATTTCTCTAGTTGTGTCATAATGTCAGGATCATTCAGTGGATCAGTCACTTTAGGTAGCACGTTAACATCTTTAGGAGGTCGTTCTTGTTCACACCAGAGTTCTGCTTCTCTCCCAACCTTTTGGAGCTTGAATAGGATCTTTTCAGGATCTACTTTGCCTGAGATGATTACTTTTCCAAGTTCTTGATTGATTTTCACCGAACGAACTCCCTTGATATTTAGCAGCTCTTTTTTCAGTTCCCTTGCACAATACTTGCAGTGTATTTGTAGCTTGAGAGCAAAGATGTTGAAAGGACGTGCCATTGTTTTAGTTCTCACTTCTCTATCAGCAAATATGTATAAGCCTTCTTGTTCTTGTATTAATTCAAAAATAATCCTGGGGCAAAGAAAGGCAAGAATAGTTGAGAAACGCATAACTACTACAAAAACATCTCACAAGAGGTGTATGGGGAGAAACAACGTTACCATAACTGAATATTATTCGATAAAACAATTCTAAAAATTGAATGATAGAAAGATGGTTGGTGACTTTTAGAAAGTTTTCTCTATTTGTGTAGGATTCATGTTAATCTTCTTTGCTTATTGTTAATATTCAGAATAAATAAATATTTCAAAAGGAAAAACAGGTTACTCCTTTCTATTTTGCTGAAGATTATTGTCTTGAGGTACATTAAAGTTAGATCGGGATATTTGTAGATAAATATTTAAAACACGGTTTTAATAATTTGACCATTTCTACCATCTTAATTTGTGCCATAATCCGCGCTCACGCTTTTATAGAGAACCATTTTAAAATCTTGAATTAAACCATAGTATATGTAGTTGATGCGTGTGTTGACTATATTTAGAAGAGTGAATAATAACACTTTTGGTCCCTCAGTTATTGCTGAACTCCTATTTTGGTTTCTTATAATATTTAATCTTTATTTATTAACATGAACTCCTAGAAATATATGTTATATTTTAATTACTTTTAAAACTATATTACCCTCAAATATTGGGTAGCACTAATACATACTTAATGTTACACAGTCAGTTTAATAATGAGTCCGGAGCAAAAGGAAAAAAAAAATTGTCAAAAATTTTGAAAGGCCATATCAATTATTTTTAACCGAAAGGATAAAATCGCTCCGGAGTGATTTTGTTTTGATATTTTTTTTTGTTAATATCGCTACGAGTGCAGCGTTTTTTGAAAAAAAAAATTGAAAAAAATAAATAAATGTAGCCTTATGGAATTTTTGACAATTTTTTTTGCCCTTTTAGCTTTGGACTCGTTTAATAATGTTATGATTGATAATCTGATAAATTTGGGAAAAGGTAAGCAGGATAAAAGTCGTCCACTTTAATTAATTGAAGGTTCAATAATATGCTTAGTCGATATCACAAAAATTAAAATGTATCGATAGTTAAGCACCAAAAGAGCTACTATACCTTAGAGTGTGTGTGTGTTTGTGTGTTTTTCCTGCCTTGGAAGTAGTCATATTAGGTTAATATTCACCTTAGGCTTTGTGTTATCTAAAATGTATTTGCTGGGAAAACAGAAGGAAACTCTTTGCAAGTCATTTGGTTATAATACACTTATCTCTTCAAGCAAATTTTGGTAAACTAAATATCGTTTAAAAAAAAAAGACTCATCTAATTTCACTTGATTGTATATCGAGTCAGACACAAACTAGCTTTCATCGAACTTTACTTAAATGTTTTTAGAATAATATTTACTCCGTTATATTTTATGTAACATATTCTTTTTTTAGTCCGCTCTAAAAGAAAGGTCACTTAATATAGTTAGAAATAATTTGACATGAAAATTTTCCTTTCACTCTAAATAAATGGTTCACACCCACACAAATGTCTAAGGATTATTTAGACTGCAAGCTTCAAGTCTTTCTTTTTTCTTAAACATCATGCTAAGTTAAATGGTGTCACATAAAATGAAACTGAAAAAATATGTTTTACTAATATATCAAAGATAAATAATGGGTGTATTTTGGTATATGAAGGAAAATGGTTAAATAAGTGGATTTGATTTATCTTCTTGTGTTTGGCATATATACAAAAACTCAAAAAGTATTATTCTAAAAAATAATTTTATTAGAAGAGAGAGAGTTGGGTGGTGGCAATGGGGATGGAGTAAATATTATGTGAAATGTCATTTATAGAATTTATTTCTTAATTTCTATTGAGGAAGTTATTTTTTTTAAATTTATCTTTTTTTAAAAAACTTTTTTCAAGAAATATTTTTGATAATACATTTTTCTTTCGCACGGAACCCTAGCTTTTAATCTTTGAAGGACTTTATTCTAGTTTCACTTTGACTTGTACTAAATCAGACACGTACTTTATACTTAGTCATCTAACCTTAAATTAATGCTGACAAATGACAACCCATAATATAAATGAGAAGATTCTTTTTAAATCATTTTATTGGGAGAATTGTATAAGATTCCTATAGACGGTCCACTGGTAAAGCCTTTTCTTTTCTTTTCAAGAATAAGAAATTCAACACTAAATATCTCTATTTTACTTAATTAATTTTTGGAAAATTTTCACAACTACCGAATCCTTATTGTCAACTTCAGATTTAGTTAGGAATATATGACTACACAGATTGGCTGATTTGAATATGTAACGAAAAAAATGACAATCCAATACAATACATAAAGCATTCCACGTTTATGTAGGGTTATTATATCTCACTTAAATAACTTACCTTAACTTCACCCCTTACTACACCCCAAAAAATCTATTTTTAGCTGCTGTGTAGTCATGACGCTACCCTCAGGAAGGCCTGACTAGCTCAAAAAACCAAGCATGTGCCTCTGTTAAGTGAAACAATTTTATTAATATCAAATAATCCTGAGGTTTGAACTTATATGTATTATAAGTGAATAGACATAAAACATAACTGCTTGATACGCAGTGAAATCATCGAATCAATAATGTTGTTACAAAGAACAAATAGTAAAATGTTTTAGTTACAATTAAACACCTAACTTCCCAAAAACCTATTGCACAACATGGAATTCGACAAAACACAGTAATATATATGGATTTCTGTCCACATATTTGACAAGTCCAAATCTGATCACAACAAATTTAAAAAGCTCTGAAACGCCCTGTTTCCTTGCCTGGAGTATACGAAGGTGAGTTGCTTCACTAATTGTATAGCATGAGTTGTACGTCTATAGTTCCTTTCAGACTATGTTTTCATATGCACATCGTAATTTCACCAAATGGTTTGCATATTGGCAAGAGAGAAATTAAACTACAATTTGAATATTACAAAAGGCGGAGTTGTACAAGTGAGCGGAGAGAGAGAGAGATAGAGAGAGAGAGGGGGCGACCACTTCAGTTAAAAGCTCAAATGTTGTCTACCGTGGTACCCTCTTTCTACTCAGTATTTCCTGCTCTTTTAGTCGATGCTGGAATCTGGAAAGACGAGCCTGGAGGCTGACCAGGCTTGCTGCTTTTCGCGACAACACATAGCTCAATTGTGTTACATAATTGTCGATGAGACTTCCAGGCTGATCAACTTCTGCCAACAGTTTCATTTCCTGACAGAGAAAAGCAGCAATATGTTAATTATTTCAAGTGAACAATATTCCCAGTTTTGCAAAGAGACATGATAAAGTGTTAAAGAGCTTCATTAGACCAGAAAAACTATGATTTTCTTACTTCACGAACAATCTCCATCGTATCTTCAATTTCTTTCCTGTGTGCAGCCATCAGGGCCTCTTCTTCCTTTTACAGCAGAAAAAGGAAAATTACATCGACATCAAAAAGGCCAAAACTGTTATTAATGAGGATATCTTACGACATGAGAAGTAAAAGAGCTTCATAGGCTAACCTGCAGTAATTCATTGATATTATCATCATGAGGGGGTGAAGAAGGTTCATTTTGTCCCGATCCAACACTTTTTATACTTGCATTTTGCTGTTTATAACTCATAGAGGATGACTCAGAGCTCGACGCATCTTTTCTTGACCATTTTCCTGGCTTTTCAGGTTTCTCATCACGAGAAACTTTCCTCCGCGGTGGAGATACTTTCTGCACCTTGTCTTCTGTATCAGTTGAACTCTGCAAATTCGATGTAGACTGCATTCTTTGACCAGCTGGAACACCATAGTTATTCTTCGCCTCAAGCCTGTCCCTATCCATACCACCAAAATTTGTCCCTCCATCATCCTGACTGTTGAAAGTTTGATTTGAAGAAAATCTAGAGGGTTGTTTATCAAAAACATTAGCCGAATTGTATGATGTTGTTTCTTTCTCCACAACTCTTCTATTTGCTTCTGATACTCTAGATTCTTGAGGTTGCTCATAAGCGTCTTCCGCCTCAGCAGAGGCAGCCAAAGTAGTCGGTAGAGAAGGTTCCTTGAATGTTGGAGTTGTTACACTTGCACTCTGATTTTTGTTGGTGTTTCCACCTTTGGATAGACTTTTAACCCTGTAAATGCAATGTTAATAGGTTCAGCGACGTAATAAAAATGAACAAAACATTCTACTGGTACAAAAACGGCTAGAACTACCTGTCTGCATATCTTAATGTGTTGAGTGTATGTTCACATGATCCAGCATTAGGAGAAATGCAAGAAATCATAACTGTCTTTGAGTTGCCAACAAAGGAGTCACGCAACACTTCAGTGAGTTTGCTCCCACGGAACGGGATATGAAGCTGATCATTGTCAAGAGCACGAATGCACTCTTTAAGAGCTAACAAGCTCTTGTTAATTTCTGCTCCCTCAATTCTAAAACCAAACAAGAATGTCAATTTCAGAGATATGCTACTTCAAACATATTGGCAGTAAAGGGCCATAGAATTGTTTTTAGGTTGGGCAGGAGGGGAAGGAAAACAAGGAAAGAACAAGAATTCAAGTGTTCTATGCATCACTTGAATGCTACTTTATAGTTTGGTTCTAACTGGCCAAAGTGAAAACTAGGTACATCTCTACAATAAAATTTAACATACTTGAAACAGTTGGAACTTGTTAACTTTATTGTAGAGATGTACCTAATTTTCACTTCGGCCAGTTAGAACCAAACTATTAAGAAAGAAATCTAGGCATTCCCTGAAAGGTATAATATAAAAAGCAGCCAGATTCATTCCATAATAAGGTACCTTGTTTGCCTGTCATTATCAGTAGTGTCTGCACCTCTCTCGCTACCTGCAAGGTCAATAAAGGAAATCTTTCCGATGACTTTCCCTCCTTTGGATTCATTTCCGTCATTATTTCTTCTAGTGTCCTTCACTTCATTGTGTTTCTTGACGACAAGTTGTAATATCGCGTGAGATCTTGATGATTCCTCATTTGCACCAGTGGAGCCTGTACTTCTTGAAGCGTTTCCTCTCTCAATAAACTCTTTCACAATCTGTACATCTGAAACTTCAAATTCCTGGAGCCCAACGATGCAAACCTGCTGACGCCCGTCTTCTCTCATGCAGAGTTTCCTATGTAAAAGCAATGTTCAGAAAAAATATATATATACATGTATCGGTCATGAAATCCCATATTGATAAAACAAAACTATAGGTTTGACAATCCATTATTCTTCAATAAGTCGGACAACCAAGAAAACTGTAAATGATATTGTGCATATTATGGACTGTATGGGTAGAGAGGAACTGTGGAACTTTTGTAGCAAAAAGAAGACTATTTCTCAAGTAGATCTT